TATCATTCGCTTTGGTATTTTGCTGGACCCTTTCTCAGATCCACTGTCTGTCTGTCCCGAGAGGCCGGATAATGGGGGCAACACTTGCCCATCTATGGGGTCCTTCTCATGGAAGGCGCTGGCAGAGCAGAGGGAGAGGGGACAGCGAGTCAGGGGATGGCTGTACATCATGGTAACTATAGTTAACAGTAATGTATTATATACTCAAGATTTGCTAACAGAGTAGATCCTAAGTGTTCATATCTCAGACACACACACACACAGAAGTAGCTATGTAAAATGATGGCTATGTAAACTAGTTTGTGGTGGTAGTTTCACATTATATACAAAAATCAGAACAGCAAGTTGTATCCAATTTCCATTTGTCAATATCTATAACATAACATATGCAGGTATTATATATACCCATAGAGAGAGAAAATAATAGAATGATAAGTGATAAGTGTGGCACAATTTTAACAATTGGTGAATCTAGGTAAAGGGTATGTGGGATTCTTTGACCATTCTTGCAGACTTTCTTTAATTTTAAAATTATATAAAAATAAAATGCATGTTAACAAAGTACTTTTGAATGAATGAAGGACAAAAGGAGATAACTATAGTTAGAAGGTCTTTCTTAAATTTGTCTTTGTTGTTGAAAGTATTACAGATGTCCCGTTTTTCCCCCCATCGATCGCCTCCACCCAGGATCACCACCTCCCCTCCGCCCCAGGCCTTCTCCACACTATTGGCTGTGTCCATGGGTTATGCATATAGTTAGAAGGTTTTTATGAAGAAATTACCAACAGAGATACTGGTAGAACATTCAGAGAAGTAGAGAAATCATGCCAAGCAGGAAATATCCAAGCCAGTTTAAAATGAAAATGAAAATGAGGAAGTGGAAGACAATAAAGATAACTTCGGATTTGGCCAATCTATTTGGAAAGGCAGCTGAATGCAAGAACAGAGGCCAGAATTAAGGTGCTTAGTGAGGCAGTTGAAAGCTAGACAGATGATTAGCATCCTCACAGGTAAAACTCTTTCAGTTACTAGAAAGGCTACAGTTTAGGACCTACCTGACTTAAATGCTTGCTTTTTTACATATATAAAGTGGTTCTATAAACTATTTCACCTTGTCAGTCTTCCCTGTTAATTGTTAAGGTTGTAAATAATAGAGTATAAGGTCTACATTTTTACATTCCATGTAAACTTAATTCATATTTATTTCCTGAAAATGGCAACAGCTGAAATTCACGATGGGCCTTTGTTGCAAATGTAACTATGTGAAGATTGTTGATTTTTTTGTAGAAAAATATTAAAAATATAAAGAGTTTGTTGTTAAGATCTTTTCTTAAATATCTAAATACTTAATATTCAACTAAACATACAGAGTTTTTTGAGTATTATTTAGGTAAAATTCCGTTTTAACAAATACAATAACAAAGTGTAATTCTTTTAAGAGCCTAAAATGACCTACTTGTAGTATGTATGGCTTCATTGTTTAACTCCCTTTTTCATAGGACTGCTATTTATAACCACTTCCCTCAACCCTGGGGGGATTTAGGATTAACAACTTCTGATTCACTTTGTATTTGAAGATTTTTTTTTTCCCTCCATCTTTGCTCAGCTAGTGGAATCCATGATGAATTCTCATCTCCAAGGGGTAAGCTGTTTTTAGTAAAGCCCAGTAGCTGGCTTATGATTCCTTTAGAAATAGCATCGATTCCTTTCTTCTAGTGTGTGTTTCTTGCCGAACGATAGACTCCACGTAGACATGCTCAGTTTTCATGCTTAGATGCAGTTAAGCATGTAATGCTTTTAGTTTTGTTCCCTTAAGTTATATGTGTAATGAGCATCTGGGCTCATATCAGAAAAATGAGTCCGCATAATTAGCATTTTACTTGTTTAGCATGACAGATAGAGACAACTAAAGCTAGAACAAGGGTGCTAAACACTAGAAGAAGACACTGGAGGTCACATGAGGATGAAGATGGTTTTGAGACAATAGCACCTGGTAAGAGCACCAGATGGGGGGCAGAGAAGAGAATTTCATAGATGGGTATTTGGGAGGGAGGTTGGTAGTTTGAATAATGTTTCTATCTAAGGTGTTGCCTCATCTGTGGGTGGCTCAGTGGAGCAGAGATGGTCACTGTGTTTGAGAACTTATGGGACTGTAAAGCCCAGTTGTCAGGTCGAATAAACTGTAATAGCAAATAAAGAGAATACGCCGAAAAGAAAACGGAATGGAAAGAAAAACTTTTTCGTCTCACCGAATGCATAGGTTCCGTTCATGAGCAAGGTCTTCGAGTCACGGTTTTTATAATACCTTAAGGAAAACAGCACTTAAATGTATACACAGTAAAATCCTTCCCTTTGTTTGCAGGGGGGAGGGGATCAAAGGAGAAAATTCCCATTCTGCTCTACTGAGAAAATATTAGTGCCTTATAAATTCCATAGCAATATATGTTGTTATTGTTCTATTTCCTTTTTGAAATAGATGTTTGTATGTTTTGACCAAAGAGTGGTATAAAGAGTTATGATTTCATTTTGAAATACTTTAGAAAGGCATAGTTTTATTGCAGTTGTGAATCTCCTTGGATTTTTAAGGAGGCTGCTTCAAAGAATGTCATTAATAATCTTCTCAGGTGCTTACAAAGCATGTGTCTGTGAGCAGAATTAGAGAATCAGCCAACTAGAGAACAGGTTTCACAATACCCTGAGACCTACTTTGTTCATTAGAGAGGAAAATGGCTTGTTTTACGTCTAAATTGACATGCCTGCTAATTTCAGCAGTAAAAGCTGTTCAGTGTGGTCAGGTTTAATATTTAGAGCCTGGTAAAGTTCAGATTGAAGTTGCTCAAGTTACTTTTACAACATACTTCTTAAACTTTGTAATCCTAAAAGACGAAAAAAGTATAGAGGCCACTTTGAGTAACGTACCCAGAAGCGAGAAGCAAAAGATAGCCTGGTTGTTTGAGGGTGAATTAATATTAAATCAAAGAAAAATAACAAAGATAATCTTTGTTATATAAATTTTTCCAGGTATCAAAAAGCATAAATTTTCATTTAAATTACACAAAGCATACCTAAGGCTTTCGTTCACTGTAACGCCTAGAAGAGTGCCGAGCCCTTGATATTTATAAAATGAAAGCATGAGTTAGTAAGTGAGTGAATATGTCCTCTTTGCTAGCTCTGTGTATTTCGAGTTCTTTGTTAAATTTGAAGGGAAGATTTGGCTTTATATGAGGTTTCTGGATAAGTCTGTTTTTAAATCTGTCTCATGTATTAAACATTTAAGAGTCAGGAATTCCCAAGTCCCTTTTCAGCTTGCTCTGTCACAGATGACCAGAGTTTAATATTCTAACCCTGGAAAACATCTTATTTCATAAAATCTATCTACAACTGTGTGGATCCTACTTTAAAATGTGTTCAGTACTCTCCAACTGACTTATGCCACTTACTTCAATCGCTGTCTTTGGCAATTTGTTCCATATTTCAAACACCCTTTTGTGTAAAGAAACCATAAAAGTTAGAAAGCTGAAAATTGGATTTTTCTTCTGAGCAATCATAGCTTACAAACGTGGAAAATTTGTTAAAAGTTAGCCCCTCCAATTTTTCAATACAGAGAGGGGAAAATGCTCAAAATAGATGTGTGGTATTTTGATAAATTCTCCCCATTATTTTAATACTACCAAAAGCAGTTGAGCTTAAATCACAAGACCAACCTTTCTGCGTCTTCACCAAAGAAATACTACAAAATGATCAAAATTTGGCCTTTCTGAAAACTAAAATCCTTAGACAATCAGCTGCAAAGGACATAGACAGTGACTAAATTTCATAAGCATTACTATCTACCACATTGTGTCTCTTCACTTTCATCAGCCCCACGTCGTGGTAGAAAGAACATTGGGTTTGAAACCCCATAGAAGCCTGGCTTGGTTATTAGTATAGTTATTAGGAGAGTGAAAATGAGAAAATGTGTGTAAAACATCTGTCACATAGTGGTTACCATCTAACAGCAAATACTCATACTTCCAAAATTAAAATAAAATATATTCAGCCCGGCTGGCATGGCTCAGTGGTTGAGCATCGACCTAGGATCCAGGAGATCGCCGTTCGATCCCCGGTCAGGGCACAGGCCGGGGTTGCGGGCTCGATCCCCAGCAGGGGGCGTGCAGGAGGCAGCCGGTCAATGACTCTCATCATTGNGGGCACAGGCCCGGGCTGGGGGCTCGAAACCCAGCAGGGGGCGTGCAGGAGGCAGCCGGTCAATGACTCTCATCATTGATGTTTCTCTCTCTCTCCCTCTCCCTTCCTTTCTGAAATCAATAAAGATATATTTTAAAAAATAATAAAGAAAAAGTAAAATATATTCAATTTTAGAACAGGAACAAGGAAGAGATCTTTTTCCCCCAAATTTCTTTGTAAATATCGCTGGGTTTTTGGCCTCTTATGTAAAGAGAACAAAGATAACAGAAATAATAGATGGAAACTTTAAGGGAAGGCTGATATAGCTCATCTGTATCAGGTCGTTTTATAGTTGAGGAATCTCAGATACAAAGAAGTTAAATAAGTTATATCTCTTAAATCACTCCTGTGCTTTTTCTGTCTCTAACATATACACCTTAATTTTGACACTGAGCAGAACGAGATTGCAAGTATAAATAACTATCTCTTAAATACATTGTCATAATTCAAAATTGCATTTCTTACTCCTGGCACTCCTATATTGGGTTGGCTAAACCAGGTACTCTGGAATGACTAACGGAGCTCTTAAATAGTGAAGCAACTCTATAATCAAGATTTTCATTTGAAATATTTTTGTTATCTAAGAATGAAACACATTTCTTGTTAAATTGCTCTCTATAAAGCCTTACATGTTAGAGATTTATATCCAGTAACATCTTTTTTATTTCTGAAAGTGCTTCGGCTGGTTTGAAAATCACACTTTACTTTGTATGACACGAAAGGAATGCACAATGCCCGAGAACCTCAGCATTAAGCTATGTTTGTTCCCTCAGGCCACGCTGCAGGATTTGGAACAGAGGCGCCCCCAGTTGGAAGAACTCATTACTGCTGCCCAGAATTTGAAAAACAAGACCAGCAACCAAGAGGCCAGGACTGTCATTACTGATCGAAGTAAGTCTTTTAACAGGCGTGTTAAAAGAAACAAAGAAAGGTGTGTAAAAAGTTTCAATAATGACTTAAGTTCACGCACCTCCATTGCGTTTATAAAAAGAGTAGCGAATAGTTGTAAATCATAGCTATCATGCTAAGATTTTCAGTCCATGGTGTTCTCTCTCAATAACAATGTAATTTCACAGAACAGAGGAAATATAATTTTTGTCGGTCTAGGCTATATAGCTGCAGAGTATGGAGTGGTGGGCATGGTAAGCCTGGTGTGGCGGAGCATTTGCTCCTCCGTTGTCACCTGCCTGGGCTGGCGCCCACGGAGCTGCCAGTCTGTCCCTCGTATCCTGCTTCCTGGACCACCTTTTATTCCCATCTGCGGTGGCACTTTCAGATACGGGCGGCTCTCTGGGACTTGGATGCCCTCATTGTGTAATATCAGAAATCACCACAATGTTCCTTATGCCGTCCTGGGGTGGGCGGCCACTCTGGGAGGCTGTTGAAGGCCCAGAGCAACTGCGTGGGGTCAGGGAGAGGGACTGAGGGAGGAGTGGGGGGACAGCCCTCCACGGTGTTTCCCTCAGGGGCCTGCCCCAGACACGAGGAGGCCCGCTTACCTCTGCTCTCAGCGCTCTTGGGTCTCCCTGGGTTTCCTCCCGTCCCTCCATGT